GCCATACGTTGAACAAAGTCTCCATATGACTTAACATCCTCTGATGGAGAAATAGGCAGATCCGCTTCCACATCCTGTGGGGTGGATTGTATGTTCACGTCCTCTATATGTTCAGAGGAGTCGTCTGAATCGGAGGATACATTGGATGGTTCCGGGGATGATCCGGGTAATTCCGGTTGATGCGTTGTCGGCATGTTGACCGGGGGTGCAGCCGGGTCTGGTGGATGTATCGGCATGGACTGCTTCGATACCGAGGATCGATCCCGAAACTGCGAGATGCGGGATGACACCGATTGACGATCCCAGTCAGGTGGAGGTGGTGGAGGAAAAGCCCATGGGTATGGGTATCGGCTTCCATACAAGTAATGCCACTGTCTCTCATCCCAGGTTAAAGTAGGGGATGCCGGTCGGTGTCGATCATCGACTCCACGTTCCGGGGAAGCATGAGAGGATTGACGACTCGACATATCAGATTGCGACTGATTTGTCTGCTGAGTAAGGTCGATGTCGAGATCTGAACCAATCAGGTGATGAGGTTCTTGCGTGAGATCTCGACCTTGACTAGCTGAAACCTTATGGACTTTCGACTTGTCCGTTTTAGGTTTCTTCGACTGCTGTGAGTCTTTGCCCTGCTTCCGGATCTTGGAAGGTACGGCATCAGATATCCCCTGCTTCCGGATCTTGGAAGGTACGGGGTGGTCTTTTATCGGCGTCGATCGTTTCGGTGCCGAAGCATCGATTGCGACCGTCGACGTCGATGGTCCCGAAACGGGAGGACAAGTGTCCGCAGCCAGGGTGGACATCGAGGCGTGCCCGGACGTGTCCAACGGCGAAGACGACTGTGGAGATAGCGCCTTCTCCATCAAAGCCAAGTGCAGACGAGCTGCCCTGTTTTTTCTCGTCTGGTTCGAGAATTTCTGGCAATGTCCGCACTTAGAAACACAGTGCGACTCCCCTAAACAGACGAGGCAAAGCGAATGCCCGTCGGTGGGAGATATTTTAAGGCCGCAAGTCTTACACCGTTTGAAACAACCCCACCGCGGGGCCATAGGCCAGCGGAGGGGGAAACGTTAAAGACAAGGAACAAACACACCGAAGAAAAATGCTAACTACAAAAAACAAAATAAAGAAAAGGAAACTAACTAAACGCAAGTTTAGCAGAAAGTTAGGTACTTAACAGACCGAAGCAGAAGGCGTCCTACCAGCGCGGCGGTCAGAAAAGAACTGGCGGGATCTGCGTGCCCCTCCTTGGTCATGCGCAGTGGAGCCGGCGCGTGACCTGGGAGAGGCGCGAAAATCCCTTTTGCTAGCTACCGGTACCGAGAAGGTTCAGCGCAGGCGCAGTATATCCCAAGGGTGTGATGCACAGAGACCACGAAGAAGATCAAAGAGAACTGAGGAGGAAGACATTCATGAAGCATATCAAAGACATGTTGAGTTAAATTATTTCTAATCTATAAATAGAAGAAAAAACCCTAAACATTTAAGTATAGCACTATACTTTTAGTTCAAAGCTTCATCACTTAATACATCATAATTCTGAAGACAAGGCAGATTTGGTATGGCATGCCTCATCTGGACCTGTCTCAAACACAGCTTCCGAACTGCTAACACCAGAAAGAGCACCAACCCGGACATTATATGATGTCCCTGGCATTAATCCCTTTAACAAAAAGACACTACGGGAACCATATACATTTTGTTTTTTTCAATTTTTTGCCTTCAAAGTTTTTAGTAACATAACACACTGGTGTAGTTAAAAACCACTATCTCAAAGTCACTTGACATGTGTTACTGACATTTGGTCAGATCCTGCATGTCCTTCTCAAAAGTGCCTTGCTTGTATTTTCTAATATTAGATATTTAGGTAAACTGCAACCACAAAGTGTTGCCTGATCTTCGATTGTGGAAAACTAATTTGCCACTGTCTGCTAAGGTAACTCAGATGGCATTTAACAAATACAAATTATTATTTATTTAATTATTTAGATTTTTTTTACGTTCTCCACTTCAGTGAACATACAAAAGACACTCACCCCAGAAGTTCAGCTTAATCTGCTGTCCACTTCTGCCTACTTTATCATTTTCTTAACCAAGCATGAGGATCTCCTCATTCAAGTTTGGTTGCTCTACCTTCCTGTTTGGGTGGGGTGAAGAGAAAGAGTGGATGACAGGTATTGTACTACTGTTTTGTGCTTCTCTAAACCTAGATTAGACCGGAACTGGTGGTTGGAGCTAATGGTTGTAACATCAGATGTTAACTCGGAAGGCAAGTGCCTCACAAGGTAACTCACAAGGTAACATTAAGTGCACCCATAAGGGCAAGCAACAGTGGGCAAGCTATGCTTAGAATAACTCTAGAATGATAACTATGCTGCTCTGCAATTCATTAGAAAATTCTGCTTTCTAATTTGAATAATCAGTTATGTACAAATACGATGGTACAAAATACAATGTAAAAACATTACAGATCAAATAAATATCCCTTAGTAAATAGTAATATAATTCCATAGAGCAACGAAGTATTTCAGATAACGAAATAAGTTGCATTACGGGGACTTTACATGTTGTGGCCCCATTCAAGCTACATATCAGCTTCACACAGGAAAACCACTTGTGGTCCTCACTATGTTCTCACTATGATATCATACTTTTGTGTGCCTTCCAAAAATTCTGAAATTCTGCTATCAGCTGCTTGGAAGGGGACTGGATTCAGTCATCCTGTTCTTTCCCTGCCAAACAGCTGATCATTGGGATTGTAGTTATTCTGAAACGGTTCTACAGATGTGGCTCTTAAGCTCCATGTATACTTCTACGGAGTGTTAAAAGTTCTAATAAGTGTTGCTGGTAGGATGCTCTCTTTTAGTCTTGAACAGATAAATCTCTAGTTGTGGTGGAGCAGCTCATACATCCCTTAGAAAATGGAGGAAAAGATTTTATTTCAAAATAATTTTTTAATGTCACTTAGTTGATAACTGTCACTTCTGGTGTTCTTCCTAGTCCATATACTATTTCCGGGACAAATCAAAACTTGGTAACGTTTCAGAAATGGGGGGATATCTTGGGATATTTTTCATTACTTAGAGGTAGTTCTCATTAAAGAAAAGGTTGGCAACCTCTGTCCTAAAATACTACTTGAAAACAGCATCATATTAAAGAATTAAACAGTATTTGGAGCATTGCTACATATTTATTATTTAAATGTAACTCATAAACTCTTGATTAGCTTTTAAAAGCAAAAATAATTTTTAAAAAGGTACATCAATTTGGGGCCATTTACTATTATTAAAATATTTTGCAGTGCATTAACGGTACTGAGAAAAATTCAGTGAAATATCTGCTTACTGCCTGCCACACCATAGTCAACATAAATGTTCTCATGAACCAGACCCTCATATTCCCAACTAACACTGGCATAGGGTCTTGACAGTAAATTTCAAATTCATGGACAAACTGAATGCATTGAGCACACAAGAAAAAAAGAGCAAAATATAATTGATGCCAAATATATCCAATCCAATCCAAATCTAATTACTTCACTAATCTGACTCTTAAAAAGTCGAATATTACTCTTGTTGCCAACATGGAAAATCAATGACTACAGGATTAGTAGACGTTATTTAAGAAGTGGTTGCAAACACAAAAATATACAAAGTACAGTTAAGGAAGCAATCCTATGCACTTTCATATCAAAGGGAATTCAATGGGCCCCCTAGATAATCACACATGCGGACCACATGTCTACTGCTGAATTCACATATGCCACATAAGCACTTTTCATTCATTCTCTCACTACTGGGGTGCTTGTATGAAAAGGAAAAATTAAGTTTTAAAGTCAGTGTCTGAATTGCTTGATTACAAAAGAAAGTTAATTTAAAATTACGTTTTAACTCTTCTCTGCTTTACAGTGCATCTGTGAATATATTTTATAAACTCTACCGCTAAAGGTTAAAGCCACTAAAATTCAATTTCAGTCACTTGATTCCTGTAGTAGACATTCTAAATTGTACAAAATCACAGAAGATGATAAAATAATATGAACCCATGCAAGTGTATGTCTTCTTGTTTCCATGATACTTTGCAAATTTCACAGTTTCCTTCTTATAGGCTTCTTCTGTGAAGCACTGTATTTCAACTATTTTGGCAGAAATTTATGCTGACAGTAAAGAGGAATAGTGATGCCCTTAACAAACATAGGGAATACAGTATGTATTAAAGGAAGGAAAGAAGAAAAATAGAATTAAAATGTTTCCATTTTGGCTGGAAGGAAAACTACATCTAAGAAAATTTCATTAATACTGATGTTGGAAGAAACCAGTGAGATAAACTGATCTTATTCCTCATATATAATTATTCTTAAACAGTATCTGAGTTAGCATGATTGAAGAAACACTGTCTTAATTAAGATTTTATTCAAAATCATTGTTAAGCAAGTTTAAATATGGTCTGGCATAGTCCAAATGAAAAAGCCACAGATCATGTTCAGCTAGAAAGCAGAAGTAGAAACCATTATTTATAGTTGTTATGCAAACCATGGTTTCTGCTAATGATAGTTTGGAACAATATCTGAAATTGCAATCCCTTGCAAGGACCATTTGTTCCCCTTTTCCATAGGCCACTACTCTCAGAAACACTGAACAGACAGAAAATGAAAGAATACATGGCCCTGTAAACCATGGTTTGCCTAGCTGTTTGGAAGGTCAACACATGGTTTGGATGATAAACAATTGTAGCACAAATTATGGTTCAGTAGGATGTTTGAGTTACCAATATATGCAAGCACTAAAAAGGGTCCCAAGAACAGGCATTCATGCATAACACAGTAACAAAGAGAACTGAAACAAGAATGTGTTCATGGAAAATACATGCTAGTGTTGCTATGAGACAGACAATTTATCTGTACTTCAGAAAGAAAAAAATCAATGTTTAAGTATTGTAGTTTCAGCACTTAACACATCACAATTCTGAATGCAAGGCAGAATTGGTATGGTGTGCCTCACCTGGACCTGTCTCAAACACAGCCTCTGAACTGCTAACACCAGAAAGAGCACCAACCCGAACTTTATATGATGTTCCTGGTGTTAATCCCTTTAATACAAAGAAGCTCCGGGAACCATTTACATTTTCTTTTTTCAATTCTTCTTTGCCTACAAAATTTTTAGGAACACAACACATTGCACATTTACATTTACTGTCTTAAACTTATTTAACACAACCTAAATCTTGCATGTCCTTCTCAAAAATATTTTGCCTGTATTTCCTACTATGAAACAGCTTAGTAAATTGCAATCTCCAAGTGTTCTCTCCTATTTATTGTAGTAAGATTTTTGCCTCAAGATAACTAAGAGGAGATTTAACAGAAAGAAATTGCTATGGACTTTAACTGATTGGATTATATTCTTATTTCATTTTCTCAATAACCAGCTTTTCAAACTCTAAAGGTGGAGAAAAAAATAAACGGTACTTAGGTTTTCTTTTCATTTTTCTGAATTTCTACACTTCTAATTAAAAGAAAATTCTACTATATGTTAAACCATAAAGTAAGAAAACCCTAGATTATAAAAATAAAAATTGAAACATCACAGAAACTCACGGTTCTAACTAGAAGAGACTGTATTATGTAAATTAGCTCAATAAACATTTGCCACAACCAAACAGGCTTCCTCATACACTGTAGAATGATAAATTTTCTGTACAGAAATCTACATGAAAGGTTCTCCTCTAATAGCTAGGGCCAAATGTGTCTTTCAAAAATTCTCCTGATCAGCTGTTTGGGAGAAGGAAGATGAGATGTGCCTTCTCTTCCCAAGTGAACAAGCAAATTGGCAGGCTCCGAAAGACCTTGGTACATGTGGTTGGCTCCCTGTATGCATTCCTATGGATAGGTGAGCTTGAAGCCCTGATGTGTGTGGTCAACCGAAAGTCCAGACAATACAAGCAAACAAAGCTCTATGGGTTTGTTTTTAGTATTAAGCAATTAATAATTTAGATTAGATTTACAGGGATTGTTATTTAAATGTAATTCATAACAAAGCAGTTTTTAAAAAGCAAAACTAGGCTTTTTTTTTTTTTTTTAAACCTAGGTCAATATTGGACCATTTTCTCATATCAAAATGTTTTGAAATGCATTAACAGTATTGAAAAGAATTCAACGAAATATCTTCTTACTGCCTGCCACACCATATTCAACATAAATGTTCTCATGATCTGGACCCTCATACTCCCAACTGATATTGGCATAGGTCTCAGCAGCTGCTGCAGTAACATTTCTGATCCTTGGATTAACTGGTTGCACTGAATACACAAGAAAAAAAGAGCAAAATATGAAATTGTATCTTTGTGTTTTTTAAAAAATTCAACTATACCTATTCTAGTAATACGAATCTTATAAAATGCAATAATATTCTTGTTTTCGTCATGCTAAATTCGTGACTACATGATTAGCAGGCATTGTAATAGAAGTAAGAGAATGAGTCTTATGAGTCTTACAAATCCTATGCTCACAGTAGGACATGTATGGATAAACAGGCATAGAGTCAGTGCTTATGAAATTTACTGCTCACTTAAAAAGGCAAAGACCTGAAATTCTCTAGATTACGGAAAACAGCAAACATCACAACAAGCATATGACTTCCTGTTTTTATGCTATTTTGAAAATTCCATAATATCCTTTTTTTGGGTAGAAGATTGCTTTTCAGATGTTTTCATGGTGCTTTACATTGATAAAGTAAAGAGTAATACCCTTATAAAATGTTGGATGGACGGGATGCATTATACGGGAGGTTTCAAACTGGTTCTCTGAATATCCTTCATCAGAGAAAGCAGGAAAGAAGAAAAATAAAGAGTAAAAATATTTGCACAATAAAAATGTTTCAAATCAGTTAATATCATCTTACCTGTTAAATAAAACAATGCATGCATAAACATGTAGTCATGCTGGTTCTTTAAAAAAACCAAAACATTTTACTAGATACAAAAGGTTACCAAATGAAAAGAGGAATGAGTTTTGTATACAACATTCAAGGTACCTTGAAAAGATAATCACTGATCATTCTCCACCCAGTCCAAATAACATGAACTTTTATCATGGGGAGGGATCTTCCAAATACATCCAATGTTCAACATCTATGTTTTTTAATGGCATTCCTAGGGAGTTGTCTTAGATACCTTTGTGGAGCAAACTTCTACGCACTGTATTGCAGATAGCATTATTCTATCATAGCATGCTTTCAGAGAGCAAAGAGTCTCCATGCACAGCCTGACTTGGACAATAAAGTACCATTTTCCCTACTAGTTCTGGAAACAGTGCGGAATAATCTGTCAAGGGAAGTTTATGTCAAATGAAGCATGAGTCTTCATTGGCTGCAGAAAAGGCAGAACAGCCAATCTGAGCAAGGCAGCTGGTCTTTTGCCTTGCTGCTCCCTCTCACCTCAGCTAGGCTAACCCCCTTTTGTGGCAGGAATAGAGCAAGTTGCCTTGGATGGGTAGGGTTAATTGGCAACCACCCTGAGACATCAGCATGATGAGGGTGTGTCTGGAACAGGCCGTCATGTGCCTTGCGGCTGGGTGTGCTGAGAAGGAGCACCCTTGGTGCTTAGTAGCATATTTTTAGCCTTGTGGCACATCAAAGAAGAGGGATGGAAGCTGGGTACCTCTCTGCACATATGACTGTGTAGGTAGTGATAACGCTGCTTAAATTGGGACCCAGGATGGATCTGTCCAGAAAGCAGACAATATGAATGCCTAGCACAGCCTGCCCTCAAAATCATCAGCATATTGAAATAAGTAGTGACATAGGGCTCTTCCGCCTTCTCATTTTCGTCGCTTGTGTGCCCCAGTTGCTTTGGGGGGGATTCTTTTTTGCATGTGTTTTGCTCCATCTAGTGGTCGCTTTGATATTACATCACTGTATTTCTGGCATATTTCCCTGCAGTTTAAAACTACAGGGAAATATGCCAAAAGTACAGCGATGTAATATTGAAGTGACCACTAGAGGGACCAAAGCACATTTGGAAAAGAAGAAAAAAAGCAATGGGGGCACAGAAGCAATGAAAATGAGAGTGTGGAAGAGCCCATAGATCAACCATTGATGTAAACTGAATACAGTTAAATAAATAAACTAGTTGAATCTGTGCTTGGTATCTTGTGTTCTCATTTGGAGGGTGCTGGGTCAAACTCAGAGGTTTTAAAACATGTTTGGTTCTTCACTAGGGCCTAAGAAATATAGTTATATATATATATATATTCAAATATTGCCATAGGAGACGGGCACTGCTTTTTGAACTTGCCTCATCAACACTTTGCATAAAATCAGCTTTGACATATGTGGTGACTCAGAAAAATATGCCTTGCATGATTCAAATGAGTGCTCTAAAATGACTCTCTATACAGATTAGAAATGAAAAACTTGCTAAAGTGCATGGCTATCTATCGCAGTCAAGTGATCTGCTGCAAGATCAGTGTTCTTTGCACATACTTCATCTTACCTCACTTAAACCAATTAGGAGTCCTCAATGTGCAGGGCATTATGTGCACACTGCAGAACACAGGTCTCAGGATTAGGCCACATCTGATTTTTATTAGGCTGCTGAAGAGATTTTATAACATATTGACTGACATTTTATAACTTATTTTGAGATATTGCACCACTATGAGGCTACATTAAACAGCAGATTTGGGGTGCCATTAAAATGGCAGAGACAGACAGACAGTCAGTCCTGTGCTGTAAGGAACAAACCACCAGGGAATTCTCCTGCACAGATCTTGCTGAAATGACTTTTTGCACTTTCTTTTTCAACAGCTTTCTAATAGGTTTGGCTGACTGGATATATCTGAAGAGAGTGCTGGAATCACATGCAAAAATTTTCATTGTTAAGTGTATGGAGCTCTTCTTGCCTGCCTAGCTGTCATTCTTTTCTCTCCAGAAAATAGGCTGACCTACTGAATTAATAACTACCCCTTAACCACAGACGCCAACTAAGAAGTATTCCCCCAAATGTCACAACAGGAAAAGGAAAGGGAAATAAGGTGCATACTAAAAACAAAAAGGGGTAAAACTGTATGAATTCAGCCCATGTCAATATGAACAATTATGGAAATGAGCAAAATGCAAATTAGCATACTTCAAAGGGTCTTAAATCCTCCTAATGAAATGTTATTTCCACCCCACTCTACTGCATTTTATGACAATTATTTCTGAAACTTATGAAGTTTACTTATTTATATGGTATTTCTTTTTATTTTATTATATGCACATAGGTTATCTACTCCCTCCATCTTTTACTCATTTAACTGTTTCATTACCCTTGCAAAAGTACTCTTCTTGCCATGAAATGACAAATCTGGCAGAAATATAGTACAGCTTTACACTACAGAAGGAAATTTTGGAAAACAGAACAAAAGTTTTTAGAATAAAACCCAATATTTCTAGGCACACAGTATGGATTTTCTCAATGAATTGCCTTTGTATCTGCAGTATCATATATTTACAACATACACTTAATCCATGCCAATCTTCATTAAAGATAGGTGACATTTCCTACTGGCTCTGACTACCTCCATTCGAAATATCTATAAGGAGATCATATATATCAGTGAGGAAAATATCTCAAGGAAAAATGTGTAAGATTATAAGTATGATGGGGTGACTGTTCTATTATTAATGTCTACAGGACATCAGGGATGAGGTGTGTTGCTTTATCACATTTATAGGCTATTTTATTAGAAAGACTTCAGACTAAAGTGGTCAAGCGTATAATAATTTTTCTCTTATAATTCTCTTTTTGTCCGTTTCACATCAGTATAGTTGAATCTGGTTTACTGTATGCTCCTTGTTCAGAAGTTTTTTCTTTTTAATTTCCAGAACCCTTTATGAATTACTCTGCTTTATTTCTGTTAATTGTCTTGGTTGTTTCCATGGCTATGAAAGAAACAGAACAATTCCTTAAATGAGCAATCTTGATAAATACTGCATTAGTTTGTACATTCTAAAAGTTAAAATAAAATATCATGGTAAGTTATAATATTTTTTACCAAGAGCCGAAAGGCAGGAGACCATGGCTCCAGTTGAACTAACATTAATTCTGACTGCAGTACTACATACACTTATCAGGAGAGTAAGATGTAGTATTTGGAATGCGAAGAAACTAAGATGGTGTCGTGTGAAGAGTGCTGATAGCTACTCTCAGTAGGTGGACTTTATTTTTAGCTTATTCTATTTATCGGTTTTAGTTAATCGCCCCTCGGATTTTCACCGACAGGAAGCAGTTCACTTGAGCAGCATTGTTTAAAGCTTTGGGAGTAATTTGGCTTAATGCCGAACCGAAAACGCCGCCGCTCTTCTTCTGATATAGCCGATTTAAAAGATGGTAAACTACAGAAGATTGATAAATTTGTCTCAAATACGCAGTCTGGAGCAGTTAATCTTTCTAACAGATATGCTGTGTTGGAATCAGACTCCCCGGTTCTTCCGGGAGAGGAGGAGAGAAATACTTTGGCAGAGACAAATATACAACAACATTGCTGCCAAAAGCTGCCAGCTATGATAATGGAGCTTGTTTTAAGGAAGCAATTCTGACTTCACAATCCTTGGCCATATTATTTGACAAAATTAACGCCATCGATGCTAAAATAAATAATTTGGAGGAGGCTGTTAAGAATTTTTTTTGTGTCAAGGGCAACAGAGGGGAGAGTTAAAATAGACGCTGGGGTCATACAACAAAGGAGACAGCTTGCAAGTGATTTGCAGCCTGCAAAGGAAGCTCTCGAGAAGCAGGAGTGTAGTTCTCTGATACTTCAAAAGAATCGCCTGGCAATTTCTTTTATCTCACAGACTGATTATTTTAGATGGAGGAATTTTGATATGATTATCCTCTCTCTGAGTCAACTGCTCAACTGCAGTACTTCTGAGATTGTATTAAACTCTTATTACAGGCTCCCTAGAATGGGGGCTTTCTCCAGAGTGGTTTTACAGTTCAAGAATGAAAATATCCCGGCAAAGATGATGTCCCTGCAAAGCTTGCTATATAATCAATATGGAATTTGGGTGACTAGAGTTTTTAAGAACAACATGTGTACCTCCCTGCACTCTAAGACTCTTATATTAGAGAAGTCAAAGGGGAATTTGGATGTCTCCCCCTTCAACAAGAAGCTAGAATTGAACAGTGCTTGTGAGCCTGGCTCCCTGGAATGTAACAAAGGAAGGGAGATTAAACTTGGGACGACACCGAAGTTACCACCCCGTGATAATAAACACAGAGAAATGGTCACTCAAGATGGATTGGAAAAGACTCACTCCCCATCTCTGTGCCACGATTCCAGCCCTAGCCATGATTCCAACTTGCACATAAGGACACAAGATGAATACTTAAAGGCAGAAGTGTCTCATAGACGGAAGTCAATAAACTACCAGAAAGGGGTGACACTAGAGACGGAACTGGATTTAAGAGCACACCAGGTGGTCTCTATGTCTTTGGGGGGCCCCATAAATGCTAAATCCCTGGCTCTTGAACTGATGGAAGATTTAAGAAAATCCCCTACTCTGTAAGGTTCTGTGTTTGTGGTTCAGAGGAGATTGAAACAATCGAACATGTATTTCTCTATTGTAGTTTGTATGAGGACATTCGGGCAGCCTATTTAGAAGATATTCTTAAGAATGAAGCCAAGCAATCTGATGACAGAATGTTGTATCGTTTACTGGCTTCACAAAACATAGTGATTATTGAAGCGGTTGCTAAGTTTTGTAACTGCCTTATAATGAGGATGATGTGTGTTAAACCCATGAACTGAATGGCGATTGTGTATGATT